CCCCAAAACCCCAAAACCCCAAAACCCCTGAAGTACTTATTTTTTAATCAGAAAATTTAATGCAGTATTTATGAAATTAATAAAAATAGTGCTTTCAATTTAAATCAATTTTCTTCTTCAACATCTCTCAAATACTTTGTATAAATTTTCAACTTTAGTTATTAAAGTGAAGGTCATTTCATTAACATCCCCAAATTTTTTTCTAATACTCATATTAGTCTTCATGAAGGGGAAAAGCTTGTTCGCATATTACCATTTAAGTTCTTCTTCCCTAGTTCTCTATAAATCTTTCTAACCATTAATGACAGCCATCTAACCGTTAGCTCCAGCTCCAAGACTACCAAGTCCTAATGACCCATCTCCTTAAACATTATGGATATTAAAAAGCTGAACTAGTTTTGAATAATAAAAGGACAATTCCTCTGCAATTTGATGATAATAACGATTTTAGCAAGAGTAATCAACATCACAGGCTAATCTAAGAATGAATATTGGCAATTCCTCTGGATATGGTTTCACTACTTCATAAATTATAGGTAAGGCTACCAGAGAAGCAGTTTCCTTATCAATCTCAATGCCAAAATTTTCATTCAAAATATCTGATTTATCAACTAATTTATTAGTATAGAACTCTATTAACTCTTCTTTTCTTAAATGTATCTTTGGATTATAGTGCGATTCTGGAAGATCAAGGGAAATTTTTAAAAGCTCTTAAATTGATAATGGATTAAATAGTCTGTATTTTTCCATACTTTGAACTTGCCTTAACACTTGCTGATATAGAAATTCCTGCAATAGAGGTTCGACTTAGACAAGGACCAGTTCTAGTCCAAATTATAGCAAGACCTGCTCTGGGGTCAAAGTTCCCACAAAAGTATGCTTTCTAAAAGTTTCTTGCAGTTTTTCATCAATATCATTTTCAAATTCATAGATAAGTTTTTTCACGCTTACAATATTCATTGAGACTACATTTTATTTGTCTTAGAGTGTTTTGTTTGAGTTGGATAAGTTTCCTTGCACTAGAAATCTATCTAAGGTCTAAGCAGTTGAATCAGTTCTGACCATTTTCATAGCATTCAAATTCTTTTTATGATGATCACTTGGTTCTCTTGTATGAACATATGGCAATGATGCTGATTGCAAATCTTCTCTCATTTAGCCTCTTGATTGACGCTATCTTGGATTAGTCTTAAAAATGAAGATAATTATTATATAAAAACATACATCTAGCATGTAGCTCCTTTCACCAGTAGTGTTAGCAATTTTATCAATCAACAAATCCTAAATATACTCTACAAACTCCTCTTATCTTTCAAAGATAACATTCTTCTTTGTTGGATGAACATTTACATCAATCTGCTCTGAGGGTATAAACAAAGACATATACACGAAGTAATTATATCCACCCTTTGGCTGGAACTGCTAATATACAGAGTCTATAGTTCTTTTAATTTTTTCACTCTCAACTAATCTATCTAATAAACACAAGTTAAGCTAATTAAATTTACTATTAATGAAAAGTAAGAAGAAACTTTTCTTAGACTGTAGTGTATTAGGCTTGCTTAAGATTGAGGATAAGGAGTATTAAAAGAGATCAAGGGAATCTACTACATCTATGAATTCTCTGCCAGCTTAATTCTAACCATAAGTCTTTTTTATTATCTCAATTCTTAGCTGATTCTTTAGCTTTTCCGATTCAGCAGGATTAATATCAGCCAAAGAAGGCCTTTAAACATTATGTGTTGACAAATCAGTTTTTTTATCATCCATCTAAAGTATTAAAAATTTTCAAAATTACTCTTCTACAGCTGAATCTAATCATTGGATAGTGTACAGAGTATCTTGTCACTACTTCGACTATTTTACCGTATTCCTCATTCACACCCATGCTCTTTTTTCTTTGTGGATTATTCGCAAATAGATCTCTAACTTGTATTGTTGTTCCTTATTGTCCAGCACATGGTTTTGGACTTTATCCATCTTCATTTAGCATTAGTCCATTAATAAAATCGGCAGAGTAAGCGAGCTCTGAGTTGGCAACTTTGCTAGTAACTGTAACTTTTGAAACATAAGAAATTGAAGCCAAAGCTTCCCCTCTAAACCCAAAGCTCCCTACTCTTCTCAAGTCACTGAAGTTGCTTATCTTAGAAGTTGCGAACCTCTCACATAGCAATGGAAAATCTAACCTCTAAAGATGATAATTTTCAAATTATATACTTACTTTTATACCGTGGCCATCATCAGATATTTAAAGAAAATCAAATCCACTTTTCTGGCACAATATATTTATCTGAGTAGATCCCGCATCGATGCTATTCTCAATCATCTCCTTTAATGCAGCTGAAGGTGATACCACAACTTCTCCAGCAGCTATATTTAAATAAGTTAAGGAGAATTTTACCTATTTTGTTGATTGTGGCATCATCTAACTTCTTAATAGATGGAATACTACTATCGTCAATCATTGCGTCAATTTAATTTTATGGTGGTTCAATTTTAACTTGTTGTTTAGAAAATCCTTCCATTGCAGCTATTATAATTTTTTATTGCGCAAATTTTAACTTTAAAAATCAGAGAAATTAGTTCAACCTATATAGTTTAACTGGAAACTGATAGAGAAGTAAGCTATTTATTTTTATATCTCTTAAATTGTATTTTTAATTTGCTTGATGGGGTTTTGGGGTTTTGGGGTTTTGGGGTTTTGGGG